CGGCGGGGACACGGCCAGTGCCACCTCCTGCCCGTCCCGCCGGGGGCACGGGGCCTCCCCCGGCTCCGGCCGCCTCCGCACTTGGCTGCACTGCCTGAAAGGGCCTTTCTCTCCCATTCAGGACAGGATTCTCCCGCCGTCCCTCCCTCCGCGCCCGCAGCGCGGCTCCCGCACCGGGAGTGCCCCGGGATGGGCGCGGGGAGCGCGGGGAGCATCGCAGGGCAGGGCAGGGCAGGGTGAGACCCCATCCCGCTGCTCGGGAGCCCCTGGGGCTCCTGATGAGCCTTTCGGGCTCCCGCCGAGCCCCCCGGCCCACCCCAGGCTTATTTTCCCCGTTTATTGGAGCTAATTACCCCTCTGTTGGTTTGGGGAAGGACAGCGGGATGTTTGGAGGCTCAGCCTTCATTAACCCTTTCCCCCCGGGCCGGGACAATTTCCGGGTGACCCGCGGGGCTGCAGACACTGGGGCTTTGTTCGGCTGCCGGGATATCGCCGGGATATCGCCGGGATATCGCCGGGATATCGCCTTACGCGCCACGCTCCGGCCCCTCTCCAGCGTCCAAGAGCAGCAAAGCCCAGCAGGCACCGGGATTATTGTTGGAAGGCCAGGGAAGGAGAGGAGAGGTGTCAGGCTCTGGCAGGGCTGTGGTCAGAGGTTCATGGGAGGGACCTCGCCGGGCGGAGGTGGGATGGGCATCCCCATGGAGACCCGCCCAGAGCTGCCTTCTCCCACCGGGATGAAGCTCAGCCCTTCCCACCCATCCCTGGGAAACCTCTTCCCCTCAACGTGCCCCCCAGCCTGGCCTGTTCAGCCTGGCCTGATCCTGATTCACATTAAGGAGTGGGAAGCAACAGTTCATCCTGCATCCTCCTCACGAGCTGCTCTCTCATTTACAGCCAGCCCAAAATCATGGATACATGGTTTGTATGGATGCTGCCATCCTTCCAAGTTCCTGCAGCCCCAGCGCTGGGGGGAACTGGGCATTGGCACATCTACAGCTGCTGGAATACCGGGGGTTCCCACAGGGGACAGTGGCTGTGGGAGCCCACCACTCCTTCGGCCTCCCAGGAGGAGGCCACTCCAGCTGGGACACCTCCCAGGCACCTGGAGAAGCCCTTGGCCTCCTGCTGCCAGCCAGGTCTGGCACCCCATGGCAGCCCCTGCCCCATGCCTCAGGAAGGATCCCACCCCAGCTCCCAGCAGGATTCAGAGCTTTTCCCCAGCCACCAGACCCCAGCTGGGCCACGTCCCCACCGGAGCTCCCCTCGCCCCGCGTGGAGGAGAGCGAAGCCCCCGCAGCCCCTGCCCTTTGGAGTCACGGGCTCGCTTTTCCTCCTGGCTCAGCTTCCTCACAAAGAGCCCAGAGCCACAGCAAGAGCCAATTTCCAGCAGGAACCTGGCTCTGTGCTCACTCGGGAGGATTACACCAGGCTGCAGGAATTAGGGGGGGAACTCGGCTGAAACCGAAGCCTCGCTTGGCCCTTCCCAGCCAGGACAGCTCCAAGGCTGGAGGTGATCTCTGGGATGGGGACAGGAGCTGCAGGAGACCCAGCAGGATCGCCCCAATGCACAGCTTCATCCCATGTGTGTCCCCAGGGCCACGGAATGGGCAGGAAGGCTCAAGCACATCCCTCCATGGGATGGGTGCCTGGATCACACCATCCCCAGGGCGTGTCCACCCTGCAGTCACAGTGTCCTTATTCCCCTGTGCTCCCAGGGACAGGAAAGAGGCACAGAGTGACCAAAGAAATGGGGTAACCCCCCCAGTGGGATTCTGAGCTGGCTCAGAGGCAGAACCCCCTGTCAGTGCCCTGTCTGCTGAGAGCCAGGACATCCCAATCCCAGCGGGGTCACAGGCTGGCTTAGAGGCAGGACCCCCCCAGCTCAGCTCCTGGGGTGGCCCCTGCACCAATATTTCTCATTTTCCTCTCAACAAAAAGGAAAATCTCTGTTTCCTTCAGAGTCATTCCAGCAGCAAGGGGACCCTCTCCAAGGGTTGTGTTTCAGGAACATTAAAACCTTGCACATAATTAACTGATGTTTGCTGTAGAGCTCGACTCGTGTTCATTCCTTCTTAATGAACAAAAAACCTACTGGAGTTATCCTGAAGGTCCCTGTTTTGCTGGGAGAAAGCTTCCTCCTCATCCCTCCATGGCTTCCCAGCACACTCCCAAGGGTCCCTTGACTTCCCAGCCCTGCAACCCCTCCAGCCCAGCCTTTCCCTCGTGGTTACCCCACCAGGATTCCCAAGGGGGTTGTTCATGGGCTGTGTGTGTCCCAGCTGGCTGACCAGAGAAGAGCCTTTTCAGGATGCTGGAAGCCCTGCCAGGGGAACAAGGCTGCATCCATCCCCCTGGCTCTGGGCCTGCCTGTGGAGGAAAACCTTGGCAGCACGTGAGTCCTTTCTCTGAGCACTTGAGCTCCGCCGGGTCGAGCTCCAGGGAACTGCGGGGCCTTTGTGCGAGCGGGCCCGGCCCGGATCTGCTCTGCCTCGGGCACAGATGGCTGCACTGGCACAGGGACGGGGCTGGCAGCAGCACAGGAACACAGGGAGAGCGCTGGAGCCTGACCCACTGCCCTGACAGCACCAGCCATGCTCTCTTCCTCCTCTTCCTCATGCTCCTCCTGCCATCCCTTCTGAGAGAGACCACCATCTGCATTCCCATCCTGTCCCATCCCATCCCCACCCCCATCCCCGTGACAAACAGCCCCCCAGTGCATTCCCGTTATTGCTCTCATTACGGAGCCCGTGGGACTCGTTGCATTCCAGGACGGCCTAATGGATCTTCCAGGCTCCTCTCCGTGGAACCAGGTGCAGGAGAGCGGGTGGATGCCTGGCTGTGGGAACAGCCCCGCGCCTCGACCAGGGGAACCTGTTAGCTCTTTTGGATATACTGTAGGGAAAACAAGGATAAACTTCCCAATCCTGGCTGCCGCCGCTGGCCCAGCCAAGGGTTATTGAAGGAATTGCTGTTATTCAGCCCCTTACAGGCTGGGGGGGGTTCAGATGCTCCCCTTGGAGCAGAAATGCCGGAGGAGGAGGCTGAGGGGGCTGGGAAGGGTGGCTGGATCTGGGAATCAGCCACAGTGATGGGGGATTGGAGTGTGATATTGAAAGGGGAACTTGGGGTACACTGCCCTGCTCACCCTCAGCCCAGCTGAGATCCAGGGAATCCAGCCAAGGCTGGGAGGAGCAGGAGCTGGAGGCACTGGTGCTCCAGCTCTATCCCTGCTGCCTCCCAGGGCCGGCTCATCCCACAGATGGGCAGCAGCAACCACTGCTCAGGGCAGGAAGGGAAGCTCCAGGGGTGCCAACACCTCGGCAGTGCTGGGAATAGGATGGCGAGGGTGGGGGAACTCCAGAGCACCCTGCCAGCACCAGTGCCCCTGGCACAGCCCTGGCACATGGAGCCAATGATCTGGGAATCCTGGGGGTGGCCCTGTGCTCCCCACACCAGGGCTCATCCTGAGCCCCACAGCAGCCCTGGGTGGCCCACAGCAGCCCTGGGTCCCAGCTCCAGATGAGCCTGGCCTCAAACTGGAGCTGTGAGTGCTGTGGATGTGTCATTCCCTGACACCTCCAAGGTGCTTTGAGTTTCCCATCCCTTAACCAGGTCATAAAGGTGCTTCCCATATGAGCTCCCCTTCCATGTGGGTGCCACCCTGGCCATGGCATGTGGCAGTAGCACACTCCCAGCATCCCATCCCCCCAAAACGCTCCAGCTCCGCTGACCAGGCAGCCGCCCCACTCCTGAGTGGGATCCGGCCAAGGGCGAGTTAATAAACTCGACAAAAAGCTCCTTTATGTGAAATAATTAAAATAACTCCTCCATTCCTGATGGACATCCAAAACCATCAGCAGCTCCGCAGCTTTAATGAACTTTCCAGGTCTGGAGGCTCCTGGGTAAGATCCTGCCGATCCCTCCCTGCCAGCCGGCCCTCGGGAGCGGAGCCACCGCGTGTCCTCGGCTCCCCTGTCCCCCTGGGCACAGGCACTGCGGCTTGATGTCCCCTCCCACCACAGCCAGAGCCGAGGGTGCTCCCAAGCAAACCCTTCCCAGTCCAGGGGCTTCCCCAGGACCTTGTGGGGAGTGTGGAGGCTCCCAAGACTCCGTGTAACAGGGATGATGCAGCCCTGGTGCACCCCCACCCTATGGAACCCCCCCTGCAGCAGCCTCAGGACACACAGGGAGCACCAGGAGTGATCCCGTGGGTCTGGCAGGGTCCACACCCCCGAGTCCATACTGATCCCACCCGGAGCAGCCCCAGAGCAAGGGGGACCTGCCGTGTTCCCGCTCCCCAGCGGGGTGTGGGCTCCAGGAACCTGTTAAAGCACTTATCCCTCCTCTGGCAGGCCCCGGCACGCTTGGCACTTACAGTTCTCCCTTCAGGCATCAGGGACCAGCAAAGCTGTTTAGAACTAAAAGTGTTATTTCATTCCCACTGGGATCAAAGCAAGCAGAGAGGGAGGATTTTCAAACCAGTAAACCACATTTGAGCACCGCTGGTGCACCCAGAGCCCCCTCACCCCCGGCCCCCTCCCGGCAGTCCCAGTTCGCTCTGGCAGACTCTTGGCACAGTCCCAGTAGCTCTGGTTGTGCCCAAGAACCAACCCCTTCAGCACAGGGTTTGTGTCCAAGGGGAGTTGGTGGCCTTAGAGGAGCCTCTGTCTCCTCATGAACAGAGCCACAGAATCAGTCATTTGGGCTAGAAAAGACCTTTAAGATCACTGAGTCCAGCCACATCCACCAAGTACCCTACTGTATCCATCCACATCCAATCCTAAAACCACTGAGTCTATCCAATCCTGAGTCCATGCTGCAAATATTGGACAAAAAACTCCAAACTTTGCTCCTGACCAAACCCAACCCAACAGATCCCTCCAGGACAAGCCAGGGAGGATCTGCACCAGCCAACTCTTCCCAGTTCTCTTCAGCCCAGGCTGTGGTTTCAAAACACAAACTGGGGCAGGAAAAAAGCACACAGGAGACAGCTGGGATTCCATAGGAAAAAAACCCTTTTATTTAACAATATATCAGGTTCCATCACGGCTCCATGGAGTTCAGCTGCCACAGAGCTGGTTACCGATGCCGATGATATGCTACTGGGCGGGAGAGCTGGGAGAAGGTGAAAGGAATCAAACCGAGGAACATGACACGAAGAAAGAAAATCTGCGGTGCCGGGGAGCGCGGCCGAGGGGATCCCGGCCCCTCCGGGGCCCCACCGGGAGCCCAGGAGGATCAACCAGCGCGGGGGTGCCGAGGCCTGATCCGGGATGTGCCCCTGTCTGGGAGCAGCCGCTCCCTGAGGAGGTGCTGGCACAGAAGGGCCTCGTTCCCTCCATGCCCGGCATCCCAAACCGTTCCCGTGTGACCAAAGCCCCATCCCGTGTGCCCCAGCCGGGACCGGCCGCATCCGGGCTCCAAGTGCACATCCAGCTCCCGGCTCGTGGCAGTGGAGGATGGACAGGCAATCCGGCAGCCCGGATGCTCCGGCGGGGCCGTGGCACAGGGCTGGGCGGCAGCAGCCCCGCGGTGGTTGATTGTGGGGACAGACCCCCTCGGGACACGGGACGGATGTGACGCTGTGGGATGTGGACGTGGTCACAGCTCTGAAATGTGGGAGCGTGGTGTGGATGTGCTGGTGTGAGGCACTGCTGGGATGGAGGGAGGGATGTCCATCCCTGCTCCAGTGCCTCTGGATCCTCCAAGGACCCCTCCATCAATACAATGCAGATTGCCAGTCCAGCTCCTGTGAGCCACTGGGAGGACTGGGAGCTCCCAGCTGCTTCTGGCTGCCCACAGGGAAGTGCCAGGAATGCCGGTGACACCAGAGGTGGCTCTGGTGGGCACGGCCACCTCCCTGAGGGCAGAGACCCAAGGTGGGCCTGGCTGAGGAGGAACAACCCAGCCCGGGCACCAAGCAGAGACGGGGATATGGTGTGCTGGTAGTTGGCAGATGGAAAACAGGGATAGCTGGGAAAGGAATCGGCACCAGGAGCAGCTCCACAGGTCTGGAAAAGCAGAGCAGGATCTCAGGATGGTGCACTGAGTTCTGCACCCCCAGGTTGGGTTTTTTTGGTTAAAGATAAATAAGGAGATAAATTCACTGCTCCTTTAGGTCACCGTGTCACCGAGTCTCTGCCCGTGCCCAGGTCAGAGCTCAAAGCTCTGTCCAGAACCAGGACAGCCAGAAACTCACTGGGAATGAGCCAGGCCTGGGCTAGGATCAATAGAATAGAATCCCAGACTCCCAGTCTCACTCTCTGCTTGGAGCCCATCCAATGCTGCATTATACTGAGGGCACAGCCCCCACACCAGCACAGCCCGTGGGCTCCGGAGCTGAGCACTATGACAATGTTTTACACCCGTTCTTGTGGTTAAAATTTCTTTTTTTTTTCTTTTTTTTTTTTTTTAAGTTCTCATTTGTTTTTCTAAGAAAAAGCAACCAGAAAATAATTCGGAGTTTATACAAAACATCTTTACATTATTTCTTCCAAAAAAGACTAGTATTTACACAAACAAAACAGGGGGGAAACAAAAAAAAATAAAATTAAAAAAAAAAATTAAAAAAAAAGGGGAAAACAAAAAGAAAAAAATCAACCAAACTTCAATACTTTCCATGAAAAGAACCCGAGGGACACACTCCAATCCAGGACCCAGCAGCCTGAGGTGCTCAACAAAAACTGAGAGTTCTGATTTCACCCTTTCTTCACATATTTACAAGGTTTTCCAGCTGTTTCCAGCAGGAGCTGGACCGATGGGGACTTCAGTTGGGGACAGCCACTGTGGGAAGCCACCAGCACTGTCAGATCACTTTTGGTACAACCTGTGGCCAGATTCCGTCCCATCATCTCCAAAATCAAACCAAAACTACATTGTCCCTTTCCTGCCCCTCCACTCCAGCCACTGCTCCCAAGGGATTCCACTGCCACTGTCACTGCTGCCAACACCGCCCAGCCAGGGCTCTGCTGCTTTGGGAACCACAGGCCAAGGTTTGGCAGATGGGAGAAGGAAAGGGGGATTTTTTAAGACACCATTTTCTGGGATTTCCAAGAGCAGATCCCATCCCCCAGCAGGGAATGAATGGGGTGTCCTGGTGGGGATGGCTCCCGGGCCGGGGGGCAGCACTGGCACGGATGCCATGGAGAGAGGGACGGAAGGTGCTACACGGGGAAAAGCAGTGGTGGGACAGGGGGAGCAGGGAAAGGGGTAGGGCAGGGAGGAGCACCCACTGCAGCTCATCCCTCCCTAGGGAAGCAGCTGGTTTGGGGCCCTGGAAACCAAATCACCTCGGGATGCTGAGGGCAGGAGAGCTGGGACACCCTGCTCTGCTCCAGCCCGAATTCCTGCCTTAGAACACCCCAAACCCAACCATGTGACACCCCGGGATGCTCCCATCCTGCTGGGGGCCAAACCCCCACGCAGCACCCGAGCCACCAGAACCCCCGAGTCACCGGGACACCCCGAGCCACTGGGCCCCCCGTCCCTGCTCTGCCCCCCGCCCCTGCCCGCTCCTCGTCAAGGCACTTTAGCAGAGCAGCTCCCTCGCTCTTTGGGCACTTCCTAAGGCGGGACTGGGGGCCCTGGGGACAGGCGGGAACAGCCCGGGCAGAGCAGCCCAGCCAGCCCCGCTCCTGCTCCCTGAGCAAAAGCAGCTACTGCTGGAAGGAAAAGAAAGGGAGGAAGGGGGGACAGCCAGAGGACAGGTGGGTGACAGGGCACTGCCAGCTCCACCATGCCTGCTGGCATCAGCCACAGTGCCAGCAGGTCCTCCCAGGAAGAGGAAGCAGGGAATGATCCCACCAGAAAAGCTCAACCCCGTCCAGTGTTGGGCAGGAGATGGGCAAGGCAAGGGCAGGGGACTCCAGGCTGTGGGACCCCCAGGAGGTGGCAGGACAAGGATGCTCCTGTGCCAGGAGCAGGGTGGGGGGACAGGTGTGGCAGAGGCTGGTCCCCAAAGCAGGTCTTACCAAGGGGCATGGAAAAGCCTTTGGCTCAGCTCCCAACCAAGCCAAGCCTGGTACTCCAGCCTCCTCGGGGGCTTCCAGCCCCAAGCGCCGGCCTCCTCCTGATACCCCCGGCACGAGCTGCGGGTCGGGAATGTTTGTTTTCCAGTTTTCCTTTCCAAGGACAACCTCCCACAGCATACCCAGCCTGGGGGTTCTGCAGCTATCCCCTGCCACCCCCTACTTTGCTTCCAGCAGGCTCAGCTCCAGCCCAATGGAAACCCAAAGGCTTTTCTCCACAGCGGGATGCTCCGGAGGGGTCGGGAGGAGCTGCAGGGCCACAGCTGCTCCGCACGGGGCAGGAGGAGCCCCGGCCCCTCATGCACTGAATGCTTGAGACAGGGTGTAGGTAGAATTTTTTTTTCTTTCTTTCTTTTTATAAAGAGACTAAAACAAGAGTCAACAGCTATGAACACAAAGGTTTCCAGGGGTGGTGGTGGGAGCGGGACGTGCCCCGGGGCCGGCGTGCTGGAAGGAGGTGATGGCGTGTGCCCGAAGGCGGCGGGCCAGAGTCCCGCCCGGAATTCACAAAAATAAAAATGTTACAAAAAAATTAAAATAATTATAATAATAATAATAGTAGTAGTAGTAAATCGGGTTTGCCAGCTTCCTCCCTGCACAGTTGTCTGCATCTTGGCACCGTGGCAAAGCTTCCTCCTCCTCCTCCTCATCCCCCCACGGCCGCTTGCTGCTCCTCGGACACGGCCCCGGCGTCGCTCCAGGCTCCCGGACCCCCATGGCACCGGCACACGGGCACTTCAGCAAGGACGGAGGGAAAATCCCAGAACGAAAAGGGGAGGTGGAGTCTCCGGGTTTACCAGCGGTGTCCCGAGCACGGAAAGGCACGGCGCCCGCCCCCACGGCCGGCCACAGTCTGGAGAAGAAGAGGAGGAGGCTGAAGGCTCACCCTCGAGTCTCGGGATTACAAAAGCTGAGAACTACAAAACTAAATACAAAGGGGAGAATCAGCGCGTGAGCGTGAGCCATCCGCTCCCCGGCGCAGCCCCGGCGCTGCCCGCCGTGCCGGGGGGTCGTGTCGCTTCCTCCCTCCGGCGCCAGCCCGGGACGGGGGGCCCCCGCGCCCGGCGCTCCCGCGCTCCTGCATCGGCCGTTCCCAGGCTGCTCCTCACACCTTGTAGTAAATGTTGGCTGGGCTCTGCGGGGGCATCTCCTGCACGATGTAGACGGGGTGCCCGTAGTCCCCGCTCACCTTCTCGTAGTGCGGGCAGTAGTTGTTCTCTGTAGTCCGTAAGGGGATGATGATGTCGCTGGGCTCCGAGCCCGCGTTCCCGCTGCATTTCGGGCTGGCCAAGGTGCTGAGGGACAAGGCTGCGGCTCGCTGCTGCGTGTGCTTCCGGTGCCGCTTGCGGATCTTGATCAGGAGCACGACGAGGAAGATGATGATGAGGATGAAGATGACGCAGCCGGCGCCGATGGCCGCGAACACAGCCACCTTGGAGCTCAGGAAGCCGTCGCTGGGACCTTGGGTCTCCTGGCCATCCTGGTTGACAGAGCCTGCAAGGCAAAGGGAGAGGGGATTCAGACCCTGCCAGGCAGCCAATTCCGTGCTCTGTCCGTGCATGGATCACATCGCCCATCGGAGCCCCTCTCTGCCCCCCCAAACTTAGCACAACATCCGTGCTCCCAGGGAGGGGAGCAGCCCCCTTGCCTCCTCACCACCTTCCCACCCCAGTCAGACCAACACCTCCCTAGGAATGACTGGGCAGGGCAGGCAGGGCCCTGAGCACCTGCAGGGAGGGGAATTATGTGTCCTCTCCTCACTCTGAATCACTGCTCCCCCTTCCATCTCCCAGCCTATGGAGCAGAGTATTGCTCGTGTCCAGGTGACCACCAACCTGCACCCTGTGAGCCCTTGCTCCCCAAAACCAACCTGGATGTCCTGGTGAAAGTGGGCCCTGACAGCTAGAACTCCCCTGATATCCAATTACTGACCCCTGGGCCAGGGCAGCCACAGCCTCTGAGGGGGGGCTGATCCAGGTGGGAATTAAAAAGCAACTCTTCCCTACTCTGTCTGATTTCATTTTGCTCTCAGTGGGGTCAGGAACTCAGGAAACCATCCTCAAAGGGCTCTCACATGGACTCAGCCCACAAACCCAAGGACCTCACCTCCTTCAAGCCCTCTCAGATGTCCTGTGAGGAACAGCACTTCCCTGCAAAGCTCCTGCCAGGAGCTGGGAAAACAAACCCAAGCTGCTCCACACCACAGTCAGGCTGTGCCAGGCGTGAGGGTCCCTGGGCTGGGGCAGGAGCTGCTGTGAGCAGCGGGGATGGCAGAGGCGGGCACAATGCTCAGGGGAAACGCATCCAGATCCTTGATCCAGAGAGTCTGGCACCCCTGGGATCCATGCAACAAGGCTGGCAGCCTCCAGCCGTGGCAGACAGAGCCCCATCCCTCTGCAGGGGTCCCTGGGAAACCCAAACCCACCCGGCTTGCCGGGCTCCTCCACCGCCGGGATCTTGCTGCGCGGGCTCTGCGTGACGACCTTCAGCGTGTCGTCCGACTCCTTGCTCGGCCGACTCGTCGTCAGCTGCTCTGGGATCACCGCGTTCGGATCTGGGAAAGGGGAAGGGAGGGGTGGGTGAGAAACCTCAATTCAACCTGAATGCCAGCAGGTTGTTCTGCCCCTAAAGAACAACTGCCCCTAAATCCCAGCCGCTCCCACGGGGCACAGGAGCGATGGGAGATGCTGAGAGCAACCGAGCAAGGCTGAGCTGCTCCAGGGCTTGTGGGAAGCAGGTCCCCACCCTAATTCCCTGGATTTCTGTTTTCAGAGCTCCTGTGCGTGGGCTGGGGCAGGTTTCTTGCTCGGGCAGGGGGAGGAAGGGAAGGACAGGCAGGAGGCCAAGGCTGCAGCACAGCTTTGCCTGTTTATTATAAATATTGGCCCCAATGTGCAAACACAATAATGAGAAGCAGAATCGGGAGCTGCGCATCCGAGTCGAGGCCGAAACAAGCCCGGGGCATGGCTGGGGCTGGGAGGCAGCTCAGGATGAGAGGTGGTGGGGAGTAGGAGCTCCAGGAGAAGAGCCCCTGGTGATATGCCTGGTGTCCCACTGCCACCGGTGACAGCTGAGAGCTGCCAAGCCCAGTCCCTGACCCCTGCCCAGCTCCAAGCCCTCCTCGGATACAAGGAAGTCACAGGGACACTGCCTGTGCCAGCCCCTCCGAGGCACTTGCATGGCTCATGGATCCCATGCCAAGTTCACTTCCCACTGGGGCACGGACCACGAGGTAACTGGGAACAATCACTCCCTTTTAATCCCAGTGCTCTGCACATGTGTGATGTTGGCAAGAGAAAAAAGGGAGGAGAAAAGATCCTAAAAATGGAATTCTGCTGAACTAACCCGGGCTCCCAGGAGCAGCTGGCGTGGCCTCAGATTCCCCAGAATCCTGAACCACCCCCAGAGCAGCACAGGGACCGCCGTTCAGGGGCAGCAGGAGACCCCAGGGCGCGGCAGGACTCACCCTGCCCCACTTTCATGACAATCTTCATGGAGCGCGTCTGGCAGACCCCTCCTTCCCGGTTCTCCAGGCCATCCAGCGTCCCATTGGAAGTGGCTGCAAGGAAAGAGAGGGAACGTTATATGAGGTTCCTGGGAGAACAGGCAGGCAGGTCCCTGCTGTCCCCTGGCACTGCCAGCTCCCAGCTCTCCCCCAGCACCTCCCACCACGGGGGTTCACCCTTGACCCCATGTTACAGCCACATTTTCACACCCCAGGCTGGAGCCCAGTGAATTCCCAGCTCCTGCCCCTTCAAAGCTGCCTGCAGCAGTGAGGACGTGATCCCTCCAGCTTCCCCTCACTGCCACATCCACACAAGTGAGCCATTCTCCCTGCCTGCACCCTCCTCCCCCTTTAATTCCTGGATAATTTCCTTTGCTCCTGGTGCAGAATGGGAACACTTGCATATGCACAGTTTAAATTATACATCTCTAATTACACCCTGTGCCTCGGTGAAGAATGTAAACTCAGAGCCCCAGTGGGCTCCAGGGGCTCTAATTGCAGGGCAGAAGTCACTTAAATTCACATTAACTTTTCGCTGTAGCCGGCACAGATTTTGAAGCCTTTGGATCCTGCGGGAGTGCAGGGAACCACACAGTTCCTGCTGCCATCCCACAGGGAACAGCCCCACCCTCCAGCCCTCTGCCACAGTGGGGACGGCTCAGGGCAGGGGACACAGGAGAGATCAAAAACCCAAACCAGGCGACTGCAGGATTAAGCACCTAAAGGGCAGATTCTGCTGAACACAATCAAAAATCTGGGTTTTGACCCCAAAAGGGCCCTGGACACAGACGCTGTGCCAGGTGTGGAGCAGTGCTGGCACACAGCCAGCCCTGCCCAGGGATCAGGATGCTTCCCAAACTGTCACCTCCATCCATCGTGGCATCCCAGTGCTCCACCAAATCCAAGCACAGCAATTTATTCACCCAGGGAAGCAACAAAACCCAGGGGAGCTCAGCAGCAGCGTCAGGAATGCGATGAGACGGAGAATCACGGAGCTACAGGGATACTTTTCCAGACACAAGGCAGGACTTGGCCCGCACGGCACAGCCAACACCTACCCGAGCCTCAACGCCAAAGCTCAGCCCCAGGGTTTCAGGTTCCCTGTGCAGCCCAGTTCCTGCCTCAATCCTGCAAAAACGGGGGTGTGGGAAGGCGGGGGTCTAGTGGAAATTTGGGATGAATCCATTGGACCCTGCTGGGTGTGAGTGTGGGGACAGGAAGAGGTTGGAGTACAGAGCAAGGTCGTCCTTCCGCACTCCCCTTCCCAGAGCAGGACCCTCGGGTGCCTCCACGAGCCTCCATGCTGGGTTACTCCGGAAAGCACATCCAGATCCCGCTGGGAAGCAGCTCCAAGTCCATCAGCTCTTTCCAAACACCTCTGTGCAATCCAGGCTCTCTCCTGAAACACCAGCAAATGTTCCACTGATCACAAAGTCCCTGGGCCGTATGCTGAGTTATTGCCTCTCCCACGGCTCCCGGGATGGAGCTGAGCATCCAGGCAGCTGGGATCCACTGGCAGGCGATCCGACAGGGGCACTGTCAGCACAAATCCCCACACAAAGGCCTGTGAATACAGAGGAATGCCCCCAACAGCCTGCACAGGCTCTTTGGAATCCAACCAGGAGGGGCCTGAGCTCAGACTCCCCATAAAAACATCTCGGGGAGAGAACTCCAGCAGAGAGTAGGGCAGCCCAGTTCTCCCAGGCCAGAGGCACTGGTCTGGGGGTGAAATAAGCGGATACATCCCAGCTCACGGCACTGAAGCAGCTCCATGAACAGTTTCCCAGCTTCTCAGCTCCATGCCATGGGTTGGTCCATGTCGAAGACATTCATCCATTCAGGGAGAGCGGGGCAATCTGTAAAAACCAGCCTCTGTGAGGCCTCGTGAGTCTGATTTATAAATCATTACCTAATTATATCAAAACGAGGTACAGAGTAATCGTGGCTCGAGTGTGGAAGCCAGAAGATCCCACAGAGGCAGCAGTGACAGGAGACAGCAGTTCCTCCAAATAACTACAGAGACGCTGTGTCTGGATGCAACAAAAACATTAAAGGTCCAAAGAGGACAGAGGGAGCAGCTGGAGCCACAGGGATGGACAGAGGGACACAGCTGAGCATCTTCCTTCCCATCCCACACACAGGACTTGGGCACGAAGGGCTCTTCTTGTTCTGCTCGTGGTAATGATGAGGGAGAAAGTAGCTTTGAGAGGGAACCACCTGGAAAAACGAAGCAGTTGCCTGAGGAAATGCAAAAAGGAGCAGCTAAAAAGGCAAAACACTTGTAAAACCCACAGTGATAGTCTTGGAATGGCCTCTGGAAACAAGGACACACACTGCCACGCTCCTCATAAATCCACAACGGGCCAGAGCAAAGCTGGATGCTCCACAGGGCTGGTTGGGCTTCCAAAAGTCAAAATCCCAGAATCATCCAAATGGTGAAGAGTCCAGTGGCTGGTGGGTTTAATATGAACAAGCAGAACAGGGGAATGTGCTGAGCAGCAGGTCCAGAGGCAGGCAGGGGCTGTGGCCAGGGGTCCCCAAGGACCCGGGGGTGAAGGCTCCTCCAGTGTGGTTCCCGTGGAGAGCTGGTCCTCCCACTCTGTTTCCTGCTTTCCCAGTGGAAGAAGCCCGAGCAGAAGGCTCCAGGATCAGGTCAGCCCAGCTCCAGTGAAGACAAGGGATCCAGGAGGCACTCAATGGATTCCCAAAGCGCCTGTGCCACTCGCTCAGGGTGAGTGGTGGTGACACCCCCAATCCTCAGCTGCCGATGGAATCCAGCGTCAGCAAACCCACAGGAACACAGGAGGAAAAGGTTAAATCCACAGGCACAGCAGCAGCTGCAGGAGAGGTGGGAGAGCCCTGAGCTGGAGAGAGGCAGCTGCAGGGCGGTAGCAGGAGGCAGAGCTGTGACACCACGAAGGAACCAGGCAGGGAGCTGGGAATACCCAGGCAATAGGAAATGGCAGAACTCAAACAACACTGTCAGCTCCACTCACCACAGGAGCAAGGCTCCATCCACACCCAGCGACACCGAGTGTACAGGAGCATTTTCCAGCCCTATTCCACTCTGGAGGGATTCACAGGTTGGCTGTAGGGCTGGGAGAGCAAAATTACCCTCTGTCCAGGTGACTTCCAGTGAGAGCAAGGCCTCTCCCAGCCCCCAGAGCCATCAGATGCCTTTCCCTAACGGAGCATTAAGCCCCGGCTGGTGAGTGATGAGGATTTACCAATGATACCATTAACCATGTAATTGCTTGTCAATTTAGAGGAGATGGTCAGCCACCATGGAAGCACAGGCAGGACCTCCACTGCTGGCATTCCTCACACCGAGTCCAGCCTCGTGACGCACACCAGGAGCCAGGACAGATGACTGAGAGCCCCCACAACCCCTTGGTCCCATCTCCAAGCAGACTGTCCCATCTCACTGCTTCCCTACACCAGCACGCAGTGTCACCAGAGCTTTTCTTCCTCCCCTAAAAATATTTCAAAGGAGAACTCGGGTTTTGGCAGATGGGAGATGCTGGAAGTAATACCTGGCAGGAGATGAAGGCAAGGGTCTCTTAAATGGTCAGTCTTGGACAGAGCGAGATGTTTGGTTTCTCTCCTGGATTCCCTCTAGCTGGGCTGCGTTATGATTTGGGCCCCAAAGCACAATTAATGTGCTGAGACTGTAGCAAATCCAAGTCTCTCTCCTTTTATTGCTCTTAATCACTCTTCCATCTGTGCACCACAGCCCTGCTCCAGCCCCAGCCAGGCACGGCGTGGCCGCAGCCCGGACACCTCCCCCAAGCCCCCCTCATCCCCAGCCCTGCACAAGGTTCGTGTTTCCATCACTTTAGGCGAGGTGGTTGCATCCCACCGGCACCCACCGGTGCCCCACAGCCTGACCCTGATCCCAACAGAGCTGAGAGACCAATCCTGGCAAGGGGCAGCCGGTGCAGAGCAGCCTTGGCTCAGCCAGGACACTCTTGCCAGGCTGAAAGCCCCTCCTGGCACAGGTGAAGGCCCTATGGGTCACACTGGAGATGTGCCTCACACATCTACAATGTGCTCGGACAGCGCCACAGATCCTTGCAGGAATCCACAAACAGACTCTACTTAAAATAGAAATCTAGTTCCTGCCACCTCCCCTCTCCTCCAGGTCCTTCAAGTGGTTTTATGGCCCTTGGTGCTGACACAGAGATGCTGCACTGCTGCCCAATCCATCATGGGCACTGAGCTCCCTCCTCCCCCATCCCAGCCAGGGCTGGCACCCCAGGGGACACGGAGCCACTTCCAGGTCACTGAGCAGAGGCACCCGCCTGCTCCACTGCACACAACTGCCCGGGGCCTCCAGAGAGCTCAGCTCTGTTACAGCCCCTTCTCCTCCTCCTCCTCCTCCTCCTCCTCCTCTTCCTCCCTGGCAGCAGGGACACACAGCCCCCACTCACTGCATCACGTTATTGTTAATATCAAGATCACTATCACTGCTACTTCCTCACTGTCAATGGGGAGTTGAGCTCCCCATTTCACACACATCCCCCCACCCCGCACACATCCCCCCACCCCGCACACATCCCCCCACCCTGCACACATCCCCCCACCCTGCACACAGCTCCCCAGCCCCTTCCATGAGCTCCAGCACTCTGGCTGGGGTGGCTGCCAGGCCTGGGGCAGGGGCTGTGCGGGGGGAGCCCCCCACGCTGTCACGCTGCCAGCGGGGCCGGCAGCAGCTTTCCAGCCTTCCAGCCTTGCCGAGGCAGCTGTGCCGGGAAGGGGCCCTCCGGCCCCCAAACGTGTGTTTGAGCCAGCCCGGCCCTGTCCCGTCCCCGCTCGGCACAGGAGGTGCAAGGCTTGGGTTTCACACACCCTCCTGCCAGCTCCAGAGCTGCTCCAGAGCTGCTCCGGCCACCCAGTCCATGGAAAGAGGAGGTTGCTCCTCTAGCACTGCTGACCCCAGGTGTGCCCCCACTGCTCACCACCCTGGCATCAGGGGCACTGCCAGGCCCACTGCCATGGAGCCAACTGGGATCGTTCTGTCCCTCCCCACCATCCCTGCAGTCACTCTGCAGACA